TACAATCGAAGAAGATGAGATTATACATAATTGAGAGCAACTGTCTGATTTTGATTATATATATATATATATATATATATATATATATATATATATATATTACAAAATTTGATTATTTATAAGCATAAAATTAAAGTTCAATAAAATTAGATTTTAATAGACAAGCAATAATATAAGAAGGATAGAATTTAGGTGGGGTTGCTAATGGTTGTCTTCGAGATGATCGTCGTAAAAGTGCAATAAAATGCTTTAGCTATTTGAGGTCTCAAAACTCATCATTGAAGAAAATGTGACATTATTTATAACTTTTTTTAGAATGTTATTATGATAAATTTGGCCAAAATTCAAAACACTCATTTAAAGGCTCCATCTTGACTCTCTTAATTATAAATATTTTATCCAATGCTTGAGTGTCTTAATGAAGCTAGAAATGAATTATCTTAAGCTCGTTAGATTTTTCTTATTAAGTTGTTAGCTAGATTTAATTATAAGCTTGCAAGATTTGAAAATTATTATTCCTTCAATTAATATTTAGAAGTATCTAAACTTACTTGACACATAGATTTTTATCTCCAATACAAACAGTTATATAAATTATTCTTTAATCTATAATGATATGAGAAGCTCAAGTTTTTTTGTATTACTTCAGAAATGAAATCTTTCAATGTATGAGGGAAATTAAGTTATGATATCACTTTTATATAATAATCTTCTTTTTTACATAATTCTTTTGACATATTTTTAGACTAATGATCTATATATTGTTCATGTAAATAATGAGCCACGTGTCTTTGAATTTTTTATTAAAAATATTTTTTTTATTGAATATCCTCTTGGTTGGTGGAAGTAGCAATATTGAGATTGCTCTTCATTATTTGTATTTATAGAGATTTGGCCATTTCATGTATATAGAATTTTAGATCTCCTTTAAATTATTAATCATAAATATATTTAAATAATTATGCTTAAATTTGGTGAGAAGGAAGTATAGAATTATGCTTAAGTAATTAAATAATTATGCTTAAATTTGGTGAGAAGGAAGTATATAGCAATTGCTCATGATTTTTTTATTAAGGATGTTGATCAATTTCTTCTTATGAATGATTACATTTGCTTAAGGACTTTTCAAGTTGCCTTAGATCGATCGGCACTGATGATCTTGTCAACAATTATTTACTTATTTCTGTTTATACTTAAAATAAAATAAAATAAAATAAAAAAAACTAATACATTAAAAGAGGAAGGTTACAAAAGAAGACCCCACACGGGACCACATCAATAGCTTACAAGAAGAACAGCATAAAGCATATAAAAGACCAATATGGATATGAGTCGAAAGACGCGGACTCAGACCAGCTTCGGGTTGCCAGGGCGGGGCCATCCAATAGGAAAAACAAAATCGAAAGAAACGGGCCACCTAGGTTGCCAACCAACCCTGGCCATCCACGACGCTTAAAACATCGCTGCTTCCTCATCGTCCATATCAAAACTGTTTGAATGGGCAACCAACAGGCCACAAAGGCACCCCAACGATAGAAAACTGACAAGAGCAGCAACCCAAAAACTGAACAAAATGCCAAGTTTATACTTGATGAATAAGATAAGCATAAGAGTATCATATCTCTTACATCAATTGGGAGAATAAAGATCTATGGTAAAAAACTCCAAGAAAAATACATCATATTAACTCTAATCCACTACTAAAACTAGGCCTACTTTGAAGAGAATTTTTTTAAGTCATACTTAAAGGTCTCTCCCTCATTTTGATGAATCATAAAAAAATTATATGAGCCATTGATTGTTTTATGATTATTAATAAGTTTTTCGAAGAAAATACTAACTAAATTATAAATAGTATGAATAGTTCTATCAAAGCCTGAGTAGAACTAAGAGCGAGCTTATCCCTTAAAAGTTGTGAGAAAAAACTTGCAAAAGATTGCATTAGAAGCTTGTTGACTATGTGTGTGATTTTATATTGATCAATATTGTCATGGGGGTCAAAACTACCATTAATTTAGGCAACATAAACCCATTGTAATATGATTCTAGAGGATTACATTAATCATATGTGAAGATTCTTGAAAGAAGATTCATTCTAAATAAAAAGTCAAACCTCGCCAATTATAACATCAAAGAAGATTCATTCTAAATAAAAAGTCAAACCTCGCCAATTGTAATATGATTCTAGAGGATTACATTAATCATATGTGAAGATTCTTGAAAGAAGATTCATTCAAAATAAAAAGTCAAACCTCGCCAATTATAACATCATTAGAGCCATCAATAAGGCTCTTATGAGTTAGTCGAGCATCATGAAAAGGAATTTTTGAACTCGCACAGTTCAAGAGAACTTGATGAGACTATGGAGGAGGAATTGAGAGTAGTTAATTTTTTCCATTACTTTTAACTATGAAGAATAATTTATTATTCTTAGTGGATGAGCTAGCACTGAAATACTGAAATATATAAGGGAGATATGTACCTTACGTACGAGAGCCTCTGCAACAACAAGAGCAAAGCATCGCCTATATAAGGGAGAATCATTCTGTGCGGACAACAGACCGTTCAGAGGTGAATCAGAATGTGTCATGTCACACGGTACATAACACCGGTATACAACAAAAAAAAATTACGCATCTCATCCTGATTCACCTCCGAATGTGTCAGGTGACCGCACAGAATAACTTCCTATATAAAATAGTAAAAAATCTCACTTAAAAGAAAAAATTGAAGCGGCCCCTCCACAAAGAGGGGTAGCAAGTTTTAAATTTTATAATTTTATATAATGCCATGGATGATGGAGAATGAATATTTAGGGTAATAATAAATTGTGTTAATATGAGAAAAAATGTATAATTTAAATAAAAAAAAATAGTAATAAAATCTCTTTGAAAAAAAAAAAGAAAAAAATCTTTTAAAAAACACTAAGAGGCACCATATACACCTATCTTGAGAGGCTCGGGGTTTTTCTGCTCCTTATTGGTGTCCAACGCTAAAAAAAATGTGATCCTAAGTGCCCTATTAGAGCAAAAATGAATCAGCCTCGCTAGTGGTGGCCATAATAATCGTCTCGGCTCACTTCGACCAATTTTTTGGGCCCAAACTTGGGAGTAAGATATTCTTTGATATCTTATGAATCAACTTTGATGTTTCATAGTCAGTTTTCTTTCTTTGAAAGCCCAAAAAAATCTTAACAATAAAATTTCGAACAATTCGCTCTAAAATACGAGAAATTATTGTGTGCGGAATCAAAATGCATTCGGATTCCAATCACAGCTTGCCATATCAGCGGATGCACTTCGGGGCCCAGTGCATCCGCTGACATGGCGCATGGTAATTGGAATCTGAATGCCGCACACAATAATTTCTCCTAAAATACACATCTAGTTCAATAAAAAGATGATATTACATTTTAGAGAAATTTTCAAGATACATAGTCCCAAGAGGAGATCCACATTAATGCTTAGGGAGTGGTCATATTTCATAAACTTTTCAAGTATAATTTTATATTGTAAATTTTTTTGAAGATTGAAAAAATATTTTCAAGGAAAGTTGACTTTAACATATGAAAAAGCAATTTGAATTAAATATCTCAAGAATTAAATTCAATGTGAATCAAATTTGAATTTTATCAAGCTAACGATGGAACTGAACATCTCAAAAAGATGAACCGACTAACACTATAAGTAATCTAATCTGACTCCAATAAGACTAAATCAAACATTCAAAACATAATTGAAAACTTAAATATATTAATCAGATCATTAAATGATCTTCAAATTTTAGTGAACTATTTCATCAAAGTTAATCTCTATGATTTTTCATATTTTTGAATTTTTTAAATAAAAATATTTAAACACTTACAACTTCTATTTATGTTAGTGATAAATTTTTGTACGAAACTAAGATTTTAATCCATTCGACCACTCCCTATTCGTCCCTGATCTCACGTCTATTTACGGGTCATGCCACTCCAGAAAATCTATAAATATAGCCCTCATTTTTCACAAATGGGGGGTCCAAGCAAGAAGAGAAGGAAGAAGCTCCTCCTCGACCACCGACGGGACTTCGTTGGACCACCGCCGGAACTTCGCCGGACTACCGCCGGAGCCTCGCCGGACCACCGCCGGAGCTTCACCGGACCACCGCCTGAGGCCATCACCTTCACCCGAGGCCCTCACCTTCTTCAGAGACCCTCACCCTCACCTGAGGCCCTCACCTTCGCCAAAGGCCTTCACCTTCACCTTGAGGCCCTCTCCTCCGTCGGACTACCGCCTGACGTCGTTGCTTCGCCAGAGCACCATCTGAGGCCTGGACTTCTGCTGGGCCACTACCTAACGCCCAGAGTTCTACCAGAGTACTGCCTCACTATAACAATCTTTCTGACCCCGATCTCCTGCCGACTACGGTCCTTCTGACCTCTGTCGCCTATTATGGTCCTTTCGACCTCCATCAACATACAACGGTCTTTCAGACCCTGGTCTCCTGCCGACTACGGTTCTCCCGACCTCTGTCACCTACTATGGTCTATCCGACCTCCATCACCAGATAACGGTCTTTCTGACCCCAATCTCCTACCGACTACGGTCCTTCAGTCCTTCGTCGCCTACTACGGTCCGTCCGACCTACACCACCAGACAATAGTCTTTCAGACCCTAGTCTTCTACCGACTATGGTCCTTGAGGCCAAACAAACATGTATATGTAACTCCTACCATGTAATGCAATCTATATGATGTACATTTGCTACAACAATCCAAGGCCTTCTCCCAAGGAAGGGCCTCATTTGTAATCGACTACAAATGCTAGTGAATTCATTCAAACTGAGTCAGACCCCGTGGTTTTTCCCCATTTTCAGGGGTTTTCCACGTAAAAACTCTGATGCCTCTTATGAATGCTACACCCTCTCTTTTTCGTGTGTGTGCTGGATCTTCGTACAATGCTAAGTCGTTAAACTATATATTTCTCTACCGCCGCGAATACTCCATGACGCAACAAATATAAAGATTTAAGAGTCGGATATATAAATATAAATATTATAAATTCTTCAAAATACAATCCACTTATTCAAGCAAAAGCAAATCACGGCCGCAGATCACCATCACGAGATCTGCACAGGAACGGATTTCATCATATTCTTAAACTCAAAATAATCCACCCGTCCATCACGATTCCGGTCCACCGATCCAATCATCTCATAAACCCGGTCTATGCTCCTACCCTCGACCAAGCCCAGCTTCCCCAATACAGTCTGCAACTCCTTGGCCGAGATGTACCCATCCCCATCCTCATCAAAGACCCGGAACGCCTCCATCATGTCGTCTTCCTCCTCCTCTTCGCCGCCGTCATTATCGCCGAAGATGGCGTCGCCGAGCTCTCGATGAAGGGAATGGAAGGCGTCGAAGTTGAGTCCGGATTGACCGGGCTGAAGAAAGGAGGCGACGAGAGATCGGAGGTCGGAGGGGTCGGCGCCGAGACCGAGACGGTCTAGGGCTTCGCAGAGCTCGTCGGCGGTGATTACGCCGTCGCCGTTGCGGTCGAAGATGTCGAAGACGCGGCGGAGGCGGACGGAGTTGAGGCTACAAGAGCGGAGACGGAAGGAGGGGGATGCGCGAGGTAGAGCTGCTGGTTTAAGAGATGGACTTGATTTTAGGAAAGCTTCGGCCATTTTAAGAGTAGATCTGGAATTGTATCAGGGAGACGAGAGAGAGAGAGAGAGAGAAAATGGAAGGGAGTTGGGGAGATTGGGGATGAGGAGTGGAATAAGAGGTGTTTTTATAAATGGAGAAGGAAGATCTCATTTTCCGCGGGGCGTTGTGTGCGCCCACGCTACAGATTTGACTAATATGAATTGACTTTCCTTCTATAATGGGAGAAAATGATATTTTATTTTTTATTTTTGAAATCAAATAATTCGACAAAATAAATTTTATAAAAGGATTAAATTTACCTTTTCTTATAAAATGAATATTATAATTTTTTTATGTGTTGATCTCAATTTAAAGAAAATTTGAGTGTGAAGAATCAGTTTACAAATAAGACCTAATAATTCTATGATTTAAAATGCAAGAATATGTTTAGGTTTTGTTCGGAATAGTTTTCTTATTAATTTTCACAATAATTTTCTTGTAAAAATTTTTACTCTAGCTACAATATCATATCACATGCCCAAACAAGACCGCTCCCAAATGGCTTGCTTTCCTTCGACCCAAACGGTTTGCTTCATTTTCCCCTTTGCTCCTCTCTCAGGACTCGTGACCTCAAGCACGGCTTTCGATTTCCCTTTCGCTCCTCTCTCGCCATGTTATTTTTATATTAATTTTGATTTTACAGCTCATCTTAGCTCCAGTAATAAGATAGAAAATGAAACTATTTTAATGTATTCTAACATTCCAAATAAGATGATAAACCGCCGAAAAATAGATCATCGGAAAATAGCCGGAAAATTGGTCGCCTAAAAACCGCCGGACAATTGTGTCGATATTAGATGATTTTCCTGTAGTGTTTAATTTAGCAACCCCACCCCCGAATAATATTCTGGCTTTTAAAAAATGATCTTATGGATTGAAGCTTTGTTTTATTATTTTAATTAGCATATAATTACAGATTACGATTGTATGAAATTTAAAATAATATATATTTGTCAGATTTTTAATAAATTCACATTATCGTTATATCTATCATAAGTTTATTAATAAATTAATGAATTGATCCTTTAATGGACTACATCGCAACGGTTTTAAATCAGCGAGCACCGTCATTTTTACTTGATAATAAATAATAAAATGTTATTAAAGAGAACGCAACAAATAGGATTGGAGACTATTGCAACTAAAAAAGGCCTTTCGGCTCCGACGCGGATCATTTGACCGTTTGGTGCGCAGCGTGGCGGGCCTCTCTTCTCGAATGCCCATTTATCAGACCGACGGGAGGAGCGCGGGAATAAAGCTGACGAAGGGAATTTGAAGACCGATTATGCGGTTATTCGACTTTTTTTTTTTAGCCCCAAAATTTCCCAAAAAAAAAGTTATTCGACTTTTTCCTACGCGGCTTACCTCCGCGGCGGCTGCAGGATCTTGCTATGTTTTTTTTTTTCTTTGTAATTTTTTCTTTACTGCTAAAATTTAAAAGCACTGAAGTTCACAATAAAGATATATTCAGTTTAAGAGAGTGTTTAGAGAGCTTTTTAGCTATTTTTTTTTAAATATTTTATTCATATTTACTGATTATAACAATTGATGAATTATAACTTTTTTAAAATAAATCAATTGGGTTGTGAGCCGGCTTGAACTCGTAAAATAAAGTTCCAACTCAAATTCGATTAATTAATTAAGCTCAAACTCAAATTCAAACTAGAGGCATGTCGAACTCGACTCAACTAGTTTACACCTCTAAACTAAATATCGATGCCAAAAACATCTTGCCGGTGTACCCCTTAAAAATCTTAATAATTTCAATGCCATTATTTGGCTTCACCTACCTTAAGTAAAACTTTAAAAAGATATGAGAATGAATAGTGTTGCGTCTTGGAGTATTCGCAACGGTAGAGAAATATAAAGTTTAATGTCTTAGCGTTGTACGAAAATCCAGCACGCAATCAGATAAGAGAGAGTGTGCGTAATCAACTAGAGACATCAATATTTTTACATGGAAAACCCCTAAAAGAATGGGGAAAAACCACGGGTCCTGACCCATTATGAATGAATCAACTAGTATTGTAGTTGATTGCAAAGGAGGTCCTTCCTCGGGTAAAAGCCTTAGCTTGATGTACATCTTATAGAGTACATTACATGGTGAGAATACAAAGCATCATTGTTTATGTGTTTGTTTGGTTTGAAGGATTGTAGTCGGTGTGCGACGTAAGTCGGAAGAATCGTAGTCAGCAGGTGACAGAGGTCGGAAGGACCGTAGTCGACGGGCGACGTATGTCTGAAGGACCATAGTCGGCGGGCGACAGAGGCTGGACGAACTGTAGTCGGCAGACGACGTAAGTCTGAAGGACCGTAGTCGACGGGCGACAGAGGTCGGAAGAACTGTAGTCGGTGGGCGACGTAAGTCTGAAGGACCATAGTCGGCGGGCGACGGAGGTCGGAAGAACCTTTGTCTGACGACGGAGGTCAGAAAGACGACGTCTAGTAGAAGACCATCAATGGACAGAAATCCAACGTCAGATAGATGTCTGGTGAAAGTCCGACAATTGGCAGAAGTCTAGTATCAGGTAGAAATTTGGCGAAAAGCGGAGGTCCGACGTTAGGTAGAAGTCCAACGTCAGTTGGTTGCCGAGGAGAACTCCGGCGTTGGATGGTATTCGGGGAGAACTCCGATGTTACTTGGAGTTCGAGTGAAACTCTGACGTACGTTACTTAGAGGCCGGGTGGAATTCCGACGTCACTCAGAGGTCGTGCGGAATTCTGGCGTCACTTGGGCAGAATTTCGGCGTCACTTGAACGTCAGGCAGAATTCCGATGGTGGTCGAGGAGTTTCTTCCCTCCTATCCTTCTCTTCTTCTTCTTCTTGCTTGGGCCCTCCTCCTTGCTTTGACTCGCTCCCCCTTCAAGAGAAACGAGGGGCTATTTATAGATTTATGGAGTGGCATGGCTTGTAAATAGGAGGAGGATCAAGGACAATAATAGAGTGGTTTGAATGGACGACCGATATTGAATCCCTTGATCATAGACCATTCGTCAAATATTTGAAGGTCTTAATGATATCGGAATTCAGCGATCTTGGGCTCGTTGGATTCGTCTCATCGAGCCGCTCAATTTGAATGTAAGCATGTCATGTATGCAAACCGTTTGGTAACCCAAATGGTGATTCGAATCTTCCAACAGCTCTTCGGGTCTTCGGCTTCATTTGGGCTCAGATTGAGTCGAATTTGGTGTCATTGGGTTCGTATTTCTGAGACGATCAGTTCGACTATAAGTTTGCTGAAATCAGAGTTCACATGATCCTGAATTTAATTTTTGAAATCTCCAACTTGATTTTTGCCACAAGATTCGTGCTCGATAATGATAATTTTTCGAGGTTATATCAAATAGAATATCAGACTTCATTCCCAAGGACTAATCTTTTGACATGAAATAATTACATTAATAATTATAGACCTCCTCGTAGTCTCTATTATTTATATTAACTCAATCAAGCCGGCTCAGTCTCAACTTAATAAACGGCTCATTAGGCATAATATGAGCCAACATCAACTCGACAGGTTAACCAATGAGCCAACTCGTTTAATAAATACTAATATGAAATATATATTTAAAATATAATAAAATATAAAAGTTTAAGTATAAATTTATTTAAATATTAAATATTATGTTTTATTTATATATATATATATTTCTCCCATATATGATTGATTAAGTGGCGGAGTCAGAAAATATATTTAGGGGGGGGGCATAATTTTTTTTTTTTTTTTAACTTTTTCTTCAACTTTCTACATTAGGACTTGGGACCCGTATAGACAGCTTTAATTTTTTTTTTTCAAATTATTATTTAAGGAGGAAGAATATTAAATATAAAATAATAAATAACTTACAGTTTATAACATCAACTTTTTATATTTTGTAAGATTTGAATGATTACTTCATTATCAATATAACTGGTACTTGAATGAGTTTTTCATGTTGATGTTCAACTTTATTCTTTTCTCATTAATAGTTGACACGTCATCAAAAAATTATCTTGATCTGGCATGAATCTCAATGCAAAATTACAATTGAACTGAGCGTTTTGGAAATACAAACGCAACGACACCAAATTCGACTCAATCTGAGCCCAAATGAATCCAAATCAAGGACCCGAAACACTGTTGAAAGGTTCGAACCACAATTTGGGTTACCAAACGGCTTTCAAACATGACATGCTTATAGTCGAATCGAGCGGCTCGACGAGACGAATCCAACTAGCCTAAGATCGCCGAATTCCAACATCATTAATGCTCAAACTTGTACTAGAAAGAAATATAAAATTGAGGAATTGAACAATTCTGCACTTAGATAAATGTGATACTGCTTAATTAAATGTCAATTGTTTGAATAAATAAAACTTGGGCAATAAGGAAGAGAAAGAAATTCATTTACTAGAAAAAACTATATTTTATTATATAGTATATACTTGTTAAACCAAATAAATGGAACAAAAAGTTTGCTGAGCATAAGCAGAAGAAATTGAATTTTATTTTTTATTTATATATAAATTAAATTTTTTCCTTCAAATTAATGATATATTGATGTAATAAGGCCTTCAAATTAATGAAATATTTGATGTAATAAGGCTATCTTATGTAATAGAATTCCATGTCTTACTAAAAAAATTAAGTTTGATCATTCTCTATCTGCTTAAGCACTGTTACATCACTTAATGTTGATTTAATTTGAAAATTTTGAAGAAGCATTTAAGGTTGAAAGAAATGAATCTTTCACTACATAAAAATATCAAAACACAAGTCAATTTGTAAAATAAAAAAATAATTCAGTAATAAGTAGAAATCTCCCATAGAGCATAATATTTTATTGAGATCACTGCACATACATAATTTGAGTTCTTGTACCTTTTTTACTCTTGACTACTCCCTAATTGAAAATATAAAAATTTTATGGAACTATTTTATTAAAAATGATACGTCACTACAAATCATCTGGATCAGACATGAATTTTGAGGCACATACAAGTTGGCAATTTCCAAAATTAAATTTGGGATCATCCAAACTCTAATTTCAAAAAACTTATAATCAAACTAAACATCTAAATGTGGCGGACCCAACGACACCTTAATTGGTTCAACCGCCTGGTCGTTGATTGTTGTTGACTACTGCCGGACCACCGTCGGACCTTCGTCGGGTTGCCGATCTGTCCCAGCCTCTGGACCACAACCCGTTAGCTAATCGCCAACAGACCTAAGCCCTATCGCTGACCACCGTCGGACCACTGCTTGGCCATCGACCGCCTCAAGACCCTCACCTGGCCTCCAACAATTGCAAGACCATCGATCTCCATCCATACCTTACCAAAGTCATCGATTGCTACCATACTGCCGACCACCCACCAATTATCTCCAATCCTCCACCTGGTCGTTGACTTATGCTAGACATTCTTCCAGTCGTTGCCACTAGACTTCTGACTTATGTCATCCGACAACAATAGTTACAAACTCTTGAGTACCAATAAAAATTGCAACAATTTCACCAAACTATTGTAGCATCACCATCTCCAAGCTAAGGGACAAGCAGATCTTTAAAACCTACACAAATATAGTAGAATCTTCTCATCTAGGCAATGCCTCATGATTTTTTCCTCTTTAGATTTTTCAAGTTTTTTTTTTTTTCTTTACTTTCTCAACTATCTGCTTGTGTGTTGGATACCCATGCATCACTAGAATAAAAATTATCTCATTCTATCACTGTGAATATACTAGCTTGCAACAAGTGTAAACCTTGGTTAGCACTATGGTTAAAGTTTGAAAAACATTAGAATGCATGGTTGTTTACATAAAATTTATTGTAATAATTTGGAATATAGATATTATTTTAAAAGGAGCTATATATTTTATTAAGAGTAAATTCTAATATTAAAATTCAAAATAATATATCATTTTTATACAATATTACAAAAAATAGCATACCAAAATTTTAAAATACAATCAAATTCTATTAAGACTAAAAATAAAGAAATACGTAATAATTGTTAAATTTATTTTTGAAGACATAAAATAACTGTTTAATATAATACTGTTTTAAATTCATTAATTTGAATTATCTATTTATTTTATTAATTTTAAAAGAATATGATATTAAAAAAAAACTATGCAATGTGCATCAGGTGGTCTCCATCCACGACCAAATTCGCAAGCTAGAGAGAGAGAGAGAGAGAGAGAGAGAGAGAGAGAGAGAGATGGGTGGCCCAACTAACTCTTACTAAAATGAAGCCCACCAAGAGGTAAAGAAGGCCCATCACGAGATCGAAGTCCAAGAGCCCGGTTATATTAGGAAATTGTCAAGAGCGCGAAAAAAAGGCGCGAAGAGGATGAGGCGATGAGGGTGTTCATGCTACGCAACCACCCGTGCTCTTCAACTCTCACCTCTGCCTTTCAGTTATTCTTGTTGTTTCAAGCGTTTCTCGGTGAAGCGGAAACGTCTTGGCCCTCATTGCTGCGTTCGGCTGAGTCAAGAAGGTGATTTCGGAGGAAGAATTTTGAAAGGTAATCGGGATTTTGGGTTTCAGCGTGCTTGCTGAGGTTTTCTTAGGGTTTCGGCGGGCATGGAAGCGCCACGGCGTATCTTCTGTTTTTGGGGTTTTTGGTGTTTAGCTGGTGAAGCTTATCGGGTTGACGTAATTCGTTATTATTGAGACTTTTCCGGCTGAAAATTTTGGGTTTCTCTTGCAAATGTGTTTTTTTTTTTTAATGATGAGTTCTGAAGTAAGAATTTTTACAATAACTTTCTTATGATCCTCACCGACTTTACGTTCTAACTTTTTTAATTTTTATGGTAGTTGAACCGGGGTGGATTATGGAATGTCGTTATTTGATAACTTTTTCCAATTGTTTTTATGTTCTGAATTTTGATCCTTGGTTATCTTGCAGCTAGTTTTTTTTTATGCCCGAGGGGATTCGTGAAGTTTGCTTCTTTGTTACTAAGGCTAGCTGCCATGCCTCTCTGTAAAGACTGGTTTTCTCTTGAAATAGGAGCGGCCATGATGGAGAAGATTTTGCTAAGCCTCTCAGAGGACCAAGCTGCCGGAGGAGAAGCCATACTCAACACGATAAAGTTTGCAGTACTGCCTATTGCAAAGGTTTTCACGGTGTGCTTCATTGGTTTTCTCCTATGATGCACATACACGGACTGACGGACACAGTGACACGGATACGACATGACACGAACACGGGACACGGTTCTTTTTTAAAAATATAGGACACGGATACGACACGGACACGGTATTATATTGTTTATATAATGTATAGATATTAATGTAACATCATATTTGTTACGTCCTGTAGTATTCATGGCGGCAGTGAAATTTAAAGTTTAATGTCTTAGCTTCGTATGAAGATCCAGCACGCAATCAGATAAAAAGATACGGTGCTTCAATTATAGGGACATCATGATTTTTACGTGAAAAACTCCTAAAAAGGGGGAAAAACCACAAGGACTGGCCCAGTTTGAATGAATCCACTATTATTTGCAGTTGATTACAAATGAGGCCCTTCCTTGGGGGAAGCCCATAGCTTGATGTGCATTCTATAGAGTACATTACATGGTGGGAATACAAAGAATCACTGTTTATGTGTTTGTTTGGTCAAAAAGAATTGTAGTCGGTGGGAGATAGAGGTCAGAAGGATTATAATAGGTGGACGACGTAAGTTAGAAGGATCGCAGTCGGTGAGCGACGTAAGTTAAAAGGATTGCAGTCGGCGGGCGACGGAGGTCTGAATGATTGTTCTCTAACGACGGAGGTCAGAAGGATGAAGTCGTTAGGACGACGTCAGGTAGAAGTCCAACATCGAATAGAAGTCCGACAAATATCCAGTGACGGGCAGAAGTCCGATGATGGGTAGAAGTCTAACGGAATTCCGGTGATGGGCGGAAATCCGAAGTCTGGCAGGAATCCGGCGACAAGCGTAAGTCCAGCATTGTGTAGGAATTCGGTGACGGGCGGAAGTTCGGTGTCGAATAGGAATCCGGCGACAGTTACAAGTCCAATGTTGGGTAGAAGTTTATCGATGGACAAAAGTTTGGCATTGGATAGAAGTCTGGCGAAAGTTTGGCGACGGGCGAAAGTACGGCGTCGCCGCATGGCGTCGAGTAGAAATTCGGAGACGAGCATAAGGTTAGCATTTGGTAGGAATTCGGCGATGAGCAGAGGTTCAGTGTCTAGTAGAAGTCCGACGTCAGTCGGCGACTGAGCAGAACTCCGACGTTACATAGAAGTTTGTTGATGGACAGAAGTCTTGCGTAGAAGTCCGACAAATGTCCGGTGACGAGCAGTCAGATAAAAGTTCGGAGTTAGATTACATTCGGCCAAAACTCCGGCGTCGATAGGATATTGTGTAAAAGTCCGACGGTGGTCGAGGAGAAGGATCTTCCTTCTCCTCCTTGCTTCCTTCTCTTCTCTTCTTGCATATGCCTCCTTCCCCCCATTTGGGGTCTCCTTCTATGAGAAATGGGGGGGTCTATTTATAGTTTTCTGATAGTGGCAAGACTATTAAATAGGAGGAAGTTCATGGGTAAATTGTGAGTGGTTTGAATGGACGGCCAAGATGTTCAGTTCGACTATAAGTTTTCTAAAATCGGAGTTCAGATGATCTCGGATTCAATTTTATAAGTTCCCAACTTGATTTTGCTTTGAGATTTGTGCCCGATCAAGATAATTTTTGGATGATATATCAATATTAAAAATGACAAATTATAATAAATGAATGACATTATAACTTGTCTAGCTTATAATATAAAATATTTAATACGAAATGTTTAGTACAACCACAAAAATATAAGCAAATAATCATTTACTATAACATCAAGCATTCAAGCTTCACCTACAAAGATTAGCTTCAGAGGTTTGTTTTTTGGCCTTTAATATCATTATTATTGAATATCATTGCTTCCAACTCTGATTCATCAAGTGAAAGATCTGCAATAGTTTATTGGATATTGTTGCGTCCAGGAGTATTCGCGGCGGTAGAGAAACACAAAGTTTATGATGATTTTGTGATGACGTATCAGATATTATATAATTAAAGTTGGTTCTTCCTTTTATCTATTTACTTCTCTAGATCGCTTGTTCTCTCTCATAATATTTCTTTAACCTCTAATCTAAATGACAATGAATGTATCTATTTACTTCTATACTTCTCTAGTTCTCTAATTCTCTCACATAATAGTTCGTTGGATATCATATATTAATATTTATTCTATTAATATTAAATCTTTTATATTCTAAATATTTTCTATATCATTCTAACTTTTCACCTATTTCAACAAATCTCATCAACTAGAATTACAATAAGGCATGCACATAATGATCTTCCAGACATGTTCGAAACATGTCTCATACGTGTCCGAAACGTGTCCCAGTCGTGTCGGGTTAAATTTAAACATTATTGTAATCGGACACGTGTCTGCCGTGCCGACATGTGTCCAAGTCGTGTCGGACACATATCTTTGTCCGACACGGCATTCTCTTTTCAAGAGGTATGTCAGTGCATCATAGGTTTTCTCACGGCCTCCAAGTATGTCAGTATTCTTCCTGCGGATGGCCGCAAGCTTCTAAATGGGGTACGTGGGAATCTCTTGTAACTATAATTTCAATTGTTCATTATAAGCTTTTAGATTTTAAAGAAATTCTCATCTCTTGTAACTATAATTTCAGCACTATAGTTGTTCCTAAATCATGGATTGATAGGAGTATTAAGCTCAAAATCTTTTAAAATATTTGCATTCTGCCCTTTTTAGAAGGATTTTCTTTTCATTTCATCATTGAAAGACAGTATGAATGAAAACCGAGGGAAGAAAAGAAATAATTTGAATGAAGTTAAAAGAAATGGAATAATGTATGTTCTTAAAGCCGTCCTAAATGAAGCTTAAATTAACATATTGATTTTTATTCAATGTGCAATTAGCCTATTTACACCTAAAATTATGCTAAAGTAACTTTGTAATTAGCTTAAATTTGATCATGATCATTATTTAATTACGTAAAAGTTGCTGAAATGAAATAAATTATTATGTATCTAACTCTAATTAATCCAAAGAAAGATATGGCAAGACTTGGAGGTTTAATTATTTCTTCTTTTGTTAATGAAAAAATAAGTGTAGTATTAAAAAATGTTACTTGTATTAATTAATTAATCTTCTTTTCCCACTAAATTTTGGAGAAATCCTTTTGTTTTTTATGAAGCTTTTTCCTTCATTATTTACTTTCTTTCACATTTGTTTGTGCTCTCAATTAGTAGTAGCATCGAGACAAGTTTAAACAAATCAGATTAAACTCAAAATAAAAATTTATAAGCATTGCGATAAACTCATAAATTTGAGATGGGTTTTTTAAAAAAAAAAAAAAAATATATTTAGGTCATTTAAGACAAAAGTCATGCATACAACATATATTGAAGATATAAACCCAAGACTTTTTGATTAGTAGTCAAAAGCTCTCAACCAATGGATCAAAATGAGCTACCTAGATACTAATTTCTTACTAAAAATTTGTAATTGTTGTCTCGAGAGATTCAAAACTTAAAGAGTTTATACAATAAATTATTTTGATGGAGTTTATGGCTTATTCATGCGAGTTCTAAGCGATGTGACTTTGGTTCTTCTAAGTACAAATATTTTTTTTGAATTTGAAGTTTTTGTACTAAAAAAATGCTTCATAAAACAGTAATATATATATATTTCAAATGAAGCCTTTATAGAGATGCTTTTCATGTTAAAACTTTGAGATATAAACTCCAATCCTATGCACGGATATCATTGATATTTAAAAATGGAATTTTTATTAGGTCCGGACACTTGACGTAGCTCTACATCCGGAAGTCAATAAAATGTCGTCACATGCTCTTACTATTTACCGCGCGGCCCGACGACCCGACCCAGACCAGAACCCAATATTGCTATGTATTAGCTGATTTGTACATATCAGGGTATTGCTAGGTTTTTCTCGGTATTGCTCGGTAACTAGAAATACCATTCTGTCAAGACTAATACCTAGCAATACCGAGGAATACTGAGCAATACCCCGGTTTTGCTATGTATTGCTCGGTATTGCTTGGTATTGGTCTTGACAAAGCATTATTTCTCTTTATTGTCAAGCAATACCTAGCATACATGAACATAGCAATACCGGGTTTTTGTTCCGGGTCGGGTCATCGGGCCGCATGGTAAAGAGTAAGAGCACGTGATGACATTTTATTGGCGTCTAGATGTAGAACTAAGTCAGGTATCTGGACCTAATAAAATTTGTTAAAGATGACTGATATTTATGAAGAGTTGAAACTCAAAAAAAACTTTTGTGTGGAGGATCGAAAAACAAAAGTCTCAAATTTATGCTCTAATGTTTGGCTAATCCAAAATGATAGACAAAATATATCTATATTTGTTCGTAATATAACTTCTAAACTATTTTCCATCAACTGTTTAAATGAATGTCCAAGGATTTCTATAATGCTTTCATAGTAACATACTATATTTTTTTACAAATGAACATATTATCACATTTTGGTCGAGCTTCTTAAGAAATTATTAACAAGTTTTAAATAATATTATTCATTATTAGAAATGAATTGAACTCTAAATTATTCAAGCGTATTCATTTTTCAATCAATTGTTTATAAAAACATTAAAGCTAATTTACTATTTAATTGAATTATTATATATAAACAAGCCTTAACAGTGTTGAGCCACATGTAGCTTGTCAAGCATACATGCCTGACTAAACCTACTCATCAAGAGGATTCGAAAATCATTACAAAAAACGTACTATATTTTTGTATATAAGTGCACGAAGTATGAAATGTAATCATAATGGTAGTTATACATGACATAGTGATGGGCATAAGCATATAATAAAATCATCAGCATAAATATAATTGATAGCTTGATACAACACTTGTTATTGATTTACATACTTTTATCAATTTCTTTATAGATTGATGAACTTTTTTTTTACTGAGATTTTCTGATTTTACTAGCCATATTGGTTATTTTATTTGTCAGTTGATATGGATTGTATATATTGTTTATTGTTCATATTGATAGTATAATAATTGATAATTTATTTGGATTGGGTATATATACTTATTCATTTGCCTTACATTAAAGGCGGTGATAAATTTTGATTGCTTGTTGGGGCATATGCTCATTTAAGACCTTAGTTTATTCTCTTGTACTTAGAAGCTTTGAAAGGATATATAGATTGAGGATTGATGTAATCTTCTGACTTTTGTAAATCAAATTTTGAAGGAATGAATATAGAAATGTTCTGATGAATATGATTTATAGTTGTTTTCGTTGGATTTATTTATAATTATGGATATTTAGAGACTTTGACAATTTGATTTCGAGATAAAATAAATTAATAGATAATTCTTCCAATTTAGATCATGAGACTTGATACAAACTAGCTCAGTATGAATAAATATTTGATGAAAATATCCTTTCTCACCATTTTAGGCTAATCCTGGCTTCCTGGCTATCACATGACTAAAAAACTCCTATTTTTCTTCGAATGGTGTTGGTCTCAAAAATGCCTGCACTAGCGAGCTCTAGCCAGAACTTTATCTTTTCTTTGGATTCTAGCTAGCCTTTGGTCTCATCAATGCTTTCTTCAATTAGCACTAGTAGCGACTTCATCTTATATTTGGAGACCTTGGTGTCGTCAATCCTTCATTATTCTAGTGAGCTAACGTAGTGACTTCCTCTTCAAAATACAGCCATTGACTTTGTCGATTCTTTCTCCATCAAAATCTTGTGACTTGCTATTCTATTCTAAATTGTTGGTCATGTCAATCCTTCTTCTCCGGCAAGCTCCCCGCAACGACGGTCTCTCGAGCAACGGCTCAAGATTTAACTGACGAGTCGAATTTGAGCTCACTTTAAACTATTCTAAAACTGTAGCTAAGTTTTTGACTGGGGAGTCAAAGTCAAGTTTGTTGTGGCCTAAACTTGACTCAACTCGACTCATTTATACCCCTATGTATGACCCAATTAGCTAGAGACGTTGGTCAAATAGTCACATGTTCCGTATCATAAATCTAAATTTAATTCATTTAAGCATTTATGATCACTTGCAAATTATATTTGGAATTTCTCGAGGGAAAATTTTACTCGTATCAACATATCATTTTGGACCCCTACATATTGCCAAGGCATCATTAGTGACGTTAAACATGATAATGTTGAGGTCCTCATTTCATCCTCTTCCATCAAATTATTTTCCAACAATAAGCGCAACCGAGAATAGTTAAATAAAGAACATAATATACCATTACATCTCAAATTCGGATCATGAAGAATCTGCACATTAAGGAGCAACTACAATGTTAACAAATTCTCAATCTACAATCACAAAGGATAGATTCCACAAAATAATAATTTTAAGAAATTTCTTACGCAACTCATTTTAATTTGTCGGTTGAGAACTTTAGATATCATAGAAGAGTTCTCAGAGTCTTATGTTTGTGATCATGTGTGTGTGAATTTGTCTTAATTGACCTAAATGTCCCCCTAAATTTTTATTTTTATTTTCATTAAATGACAATATTTTGATAAAAAGAGTTCACATAGAAAGCTCTTAATATAGGTTATTTAAAGAAAATACTTTTTAACTGCATGAATTCATTCAATCTAACATCATTATTTCGATATAAAAAATTAAAAAATATTTTTTTTTAAATAAAAACGAAAGAGTTTCATAAAAAACTTCTAGAAGTGTCCAATTCTACAAAAAAAAAAGCAAATAAAATCTGATCGAAATTATATAAGAAAAGACCAAAAAATCTCCAAATATAAACTAAAATCATAAAAGAAATGAGGTTAATGCATGAACCGCTTTCTCAAAGGAATCTCCTTTATTCTCATCTCCACATCATCCCGTTGAAGGTGTGTCGTCGTATCAATCTCTATCTACTTCTCACAATATGTCAGTTTTAAGGGTAATTAACTTCTTTTTAAAAGAAAATTAAAGCCTCAAGATAAGGAGCAATTATTACGTCCGGTCACAATATACATGTGCCACATCACCTGAAACTCGGTATTGAGCACTCGCTATTGCTCAGTATACATTCAGATACGTTCGGATTTGACCGGACGTAATAATTACTCCAAGATAAGGGGGAAATAATCTCACCACCTTGCGTTTATACATGCAAAGAGGATAATCATCAAAATTTCAACTTCAATCGCTACACAATTATAAGTCTTGCAAGAATTATTTCAATATTTTGAAGGATGAGAAGAGAGATATTTTTCAAAATAAATTATTTTTATGGCAATTTTATATACATAATAAACAAATGTTGACTAATTACAAAAATAACACTCTCATATATCTATTTTTTTCATAATTCTCACACAAATATCAAAATAACCTTAGTTTTATTCATGTACAAATATATGACTTCAATAGCTTAAAAGTAAGCTCTAAATGTTAGTTTTATATGTAACTGAGATTCTAATGTTATGCACGTAATTCACCCGTTATATTTCTTAATTTCCCTTTTTTGTAGCATCTAAAATAATTTTGAACTATTTTATATATTTTCAAGCATGAACAAGGATATTTAGGAGGACACATTTTTGCCAATTAACTTCATTAAAACACTAAAGGCCTGTTTAAAACAACTATTACTATTTTACTTTTCAAATCATAATTCAAATTCCATGACTATGTCACAAAAAAAAAAATTTTGTGCTAGAAATTATTTTTTTATGATAACTTATTTTCCTACCTTTACAAAAAAAAAGTACATTTTTCCCAAATAGATCATAAGATGCTAAATACATGACGCTTTCAAAAAAAGACTATTTAAATCATTCAATAAAATATCAAAAATGAAAATTGTTGCTATGCAACACTATGATTGCAATCTATGAATTATTAATCCAATGAAGTTAATCTTGTCTTTGCTTTAGACATAATGGTCATTGTTATTCATTCTCCAACATTGATACTCATCACCACTATTAGCTAATTTATAAGTTTATCATCTTCTACTCTTCTAAACCACTACCATCCAACATTATCTACCTTCAAGATAATTATAATTTTTCAATAACAGAGATTGATGAATTATTATAATTTTCAATACAACAACAACATCATCATCATCGAGCATTTATCCTTCTACATGGGACCAACTAAATGAATATTTTTTCTCTATTGTGTCCTATTAAGAGTCAAATTTTTATTTAAACCTAATATATAAATATCATTTCTAATATTTTCTAGCCAAGCCTTTTTAAGTCTACCTCTACCTTTTTTAACATAGGTCAAATATAATACATCTATTCTTCTAGAGTCTTCCAAAGGCTGCCATTTTTTAAGACCAAACTATCTAAGAAGACTATAATCTTATTTTTCACTAGAGCAAGTCCAACTTTTTCACATATATTTTTATTTCATATATTGTCTCTAAAAGTAAAGCCACTCATCCACATAAGCATTCTCATCTATGCAACACTTTTTTTTTTTTTAGTTACCTTAATATTATGCTTCTCTTTTAATGGTCAACATTTTGCATCATAAAACATTACATGTCTCACCACCACCTTCTAGAATGTTTTCTAAAATTTGAGGGGTACTTTTCTATCACACAACAAAGCCCAATGCATTCTTCCACTTCAACCATCCAAATTAAATTCTACTAACAATATCCCCATTTATTTCACTATCACTCTTCAACAATAGACCCAAAATATCTAAAACATGTACTTTTATTAACAATACAATAATAAAATTATTTTTCCAAATATAAGCCTTATTCTTTATTATCATTATTATTATTATTTCTACACTAAATATCAAGCATGATTGTAATCAATGAACTATTATTTGTGTCATAGGCTAATTATTGGTGTGCAAGATTTTAATGCAACATTATTAAGGCATTATCTTCTTACCATCACAAATATTCAAGCCTGCAACAACTACTAATCAAGCACAATAAGTCATAATAATTATCATGATAATTTATGATATGAAGTACATGGTCAATAAAAACAATATTATGATCCTTTTTAAATTGTCATTACTTTTTTCCTCATTAATAATCAATTACATAAACATTTAAATCTTATCATGTGAACTAAAAAAATTATTTACACTTGATCAAATTACAAGTTTTTGTTGCATGAATCTATTAATAATCCGCCATGCAAAGTTTTTATTTTGTTACGTGAAATCTTTATTGTATGGTTATCAGTCTGTTGCTTCAAGGGTTCTTGCATAGAATAATTTGATTCCACCCTTTTAACACTTTAACCTTCTGGTGACCTCCAATGTAAAATTGACAATTCATTTTTTTGCAAAATTGAATGCTTTAAACATACTACGAACCACATCTCTAATAACAACATATATCACTTTTTTTTTTTTATAAATTATAATGACATAAAACTAAAGCTTGGTTTTTAAAATTATTTTCCTTGGACAAATTACTCCAAGAAATTCAGGAAGCAAAGAAACGTTTTTGCCTTTAGGTCTGCTCCTCAGGCTTTAGTAAATTTCGTATAAGAATAAAATCTTTCATTTACAACCGCCCCTTTTTGACTGCAACTAGAAGTAATCCAAATCCAGTCCAGCCATCAGAGATGACGGCTATTTTGTTTTTTTAACACTCAAGTCATTTAAAATAAATTCACACAAATCATAAAATAATATTCAAATCTAAAACCTTTTTATTAAAATTTTATCTTGATTGATAGCTACAACTCTCAACTCATAGACAAGAACAAGCTGTATAAATCATTACTTGCCAAAGTTAGGAACCAACGTTGAGTCATATTAGCCTACGTATAATGCATGAACGATTATTCAATCTTGCAAAATATTTTAATCTTACTTGAAAAAAAGATTTCCTTTAATTATATACAACCCGAGGGCGTCTCTTATAGATTTTGCATTAAACTTGCCCTAACCCTAGAATTGGGTTGTACAATTCAAACCTCTTAGTGCAAAATAGTTTTTTTCGTGGCACGCTTTTCGTATTTAAACCGGCAGAGAGGAGGTCAGCTCTCAGCACCACAAAATTAAATTTCCAAGCGCTCCCTCCCTTATCTAATTGCATTATACGCCTTCCCTTTATATATATATACAAGAAAAATTATTTAATTAATTACGTGTTACTACTATAATAAATGGCTCTAGCTTCTGGCGTGAAAAGGAACTTCAATTCTTAAAATGGGCCGGCAGCAGCCCTGATCTCCCGCTGAGTTGTCTGGTGGTTTTCTTTTTTCTTTTTTTCTTTTTTTTCTTTTTTTCAGGGGTAAGCGCGTGTTTCCTCATTTTTTAGATTCTCCAGGGTTTTATTTCTTATTATTAAGAGGGGTTAGAGGCTCTGGTCATAGCTTTACTGCGAAGTCATTTTCATTTGCTCTCCTGTACAAGAGAGCTGAAGCTTCCACCCTGTGAACAAAAGAAAAAATTTTGATGTGAGTGTGAGAATTATATGTCAAAGAGAAATGAATGGTTCGGTGCTGTGAGGACAAAAAATAACGATAGTTTGGTTAATTATAATGCTCTTAAGCGGAACATCTCTCACCAGCCAGGATGGACCACAAATCTTCCCGTGGATAAAGCCCAGTTCACCTGTAAACCAAATATTTGTGTTTTGCAGTTAGAAGAAGATATTTTACAAATGTACCACTCAAATATGATTTAATTGTTACACCAATTCTTTACTCACAAGCTCTCCATCTTTCTGATGCATCATTAAATCTCTGTATTAGTCTAATTTAAATGAGTTTAATAGTGCTGTGAACTTAATGGAAGATCAAAAATCACTCAGATCGAAGTCAACATGCAAAACTCAATTTGGATTGAACTTGAATGGGATTTAGCTAGTGGGATTGGATCAAAATGCATTAAACTTTATATATAAAACAATTAAAATTGAAAAAAAAAAATTTTTTTGATCAATCAAGATTAGATCAAGCAATCCTATATTTGGGCTTGGCTGAGCTCCATGTTAGATCAAATGACTTCAATTCTAAAATTTGTTCAACTCGAAATAGAATCATTAATAGCCCTAGAGTTAACTAAACCTAGAGCAATATCTCGGCATGGTTCAAGATTGGCCTGTCCTAAAGCAATCCCATTATTCTTGCATGTTGGGTTTGTTCATTGAGGGTAATTCTATAATTAAGTTGAATTTAGAGATAACTCTTAAAAATTAATAAAATACTCTGTTTAAGGTTTCATCAACTGTGACATCTTCGGTAGAGTTAAATGTTTAAGATTTAGATAATATACTCTATATTTATCTGTTTGAGGTAGACTAAAGCTTCGTTTGAGATGACTTTCTTACTGCTTCTTATAACAACTTTTTAGCACAAAAATTTAAACTTATTATCAATTTTGTATTAAAAAACAGCTTTAAGAAATAGTAAGAAAGTTGTCCCAAACGAATCCTAAGAAAAACCGCCAAGGTTTGGGTGTTACTATAAAGAAACATAGCAGTTTAGATTTCAGAGCTTTCTAGAAAATACTTTCATGTTACCTTATCAGTTCCAAGAGAATTGGCAACAACATGAGTGACCTGCTCGTCAATCTGGTTGGTGCATACGGCACCAAACTGCTCTGCAGTTTGCCATAGGGGATGGAGATGAGGATTGGCTTCGCCCACTGGAAATATTCGGCTAAAGACAATCTTGCATCCTGCAAGTATCTTTCGCTGCTCTGTTGCAAGTATATGTCTCACATCAACATCACTTAGGCAGTTGTGAGAAAAGAAGATTTGGTGAATTTTCTCTATGACCTGTTTTAGTGCAAAAGAATCAAAAGAACTGGCACAACAGTAGGCACAATATGAGAGCAATTACACCTCCACCGCAATGTAAAGAATTTTACCGCTAAACAAGAAGCAAGAGTTCCATCTTCTGGTCTCTCATCATGATCAATCTCAAGAAGTGAAGGCCCGAGAAGCCCAAACTGCCTTCTACTACATGGGAAATAAGTATATCTGCAAAAGGTTTGATACGAATAAACATGAAAAAATAACATACATTAATATATATATATATATATGTGTGTGTCTGTGTTTGTGTGTTAGGGGTGTCAATTTTGGGTTACAGATTGCATTCGGGTCAAACCCCAAACTGACCTGGCACTATTTGGGTCAACCCGAACCCGACCCATTTTTGTATACGGGTTGATTTTACAGACCCGACCCCGACCCGCTTCTGGTTCGACAGCGGCACGTGTCCCGCGTTTCGGGTTCGACAGCGCCCGGCAGCAACACAGGCAGCCGGCGTTCGACAGTAGCAGCCAACAGCGAGGTGTGTAAAACAGCTGGACTGATATAAATGATTAATCAAATTTACCTCTCTACAAGAATCAGGTTGTGCCTATTATGTGGCCAGACACGGACCGAATCATCTATAATCACCACAGCGGACTCCATACCTAACACCCCCTCTAAATCTTTGCTTTTGGGCACCCTCTCATCACCATCAAAAGGTTCACCATCATCTCCCCTAGAAATTACTCGTCCAGCAAACAAGATCCCGGTCGGATCAAGAACTTTTGCCATCTCAGTGGCGTACAACTTATTGCCCATCGTATATAGATGCAGCTCAAAAATCTTACTAGCCTGCAGCCGTCAACAAACATTCATTAGTTTCTCCAACGGATAGAACACAACTCAGTAAATGTTTTCCTTCTACTCAGACACAAAATTACCTTTTCCAAAAAGTTCCAAACACCCGGCCTCAATTTGGTCCACATTGCCATATGTTGGAAACGGAAAAGATGTCTTTGCGGCTGTTCTCGATCTTGCTCTTCCTTCTTCCTCAAAATCTCTTCATGAACTGGCTCAACTTCTCCAAACTAGACAAAGAAATGCACATCTCACTAAACTGAAGAAAAGTTTCATCACAATTAAATTAAGGAAGGCAGCCTGTACCTTGGCCGAGTTGAGGAGGGTGTGATCTAGATCAAGCACCAGACAAAGTTTCCCGGCTGCAAACATTTTGTTCTGTTCAGTTATCCTCCTTGCCCTTTCTTTCTGGATGACAGCTTTTTGCTGATCATCATATCCATTCAAAAGGTGATCCATATCTCCCCATGGATTCGTTTCTTGAGAGGCATCTACTGTGCCTGTTTGAGAAGAAGAACCATTTACAACTTTAGAATCATTCGACTCTATGATAACTCTTCCATCTGGCTTATCTGTCATGCCTATGATTGGCTGTGAAATATCCAGAGGACCTGATGCCGAGGCAATAGTAGCTAATTTAGAGGTAGACATGTTATCAGCAATAGTCTTGAGATTCTTCATGAACTGCCGACTACCATTAGGGATCTGCAATTGCTCTCCCAAATCTCTGTCAGTTATCCTGTCCTTGTTAATTTGGGAGCTTGAAGGCATAGCACCCATTTTGTTTTGATCAGAAGGTGAAGCTTCACTTTTTTGGATAATGCTATCATGAAGAATGCGGCGAGGATCACGAGGTTTCATCCGAAGTCTACCCGCATCATTCTGAGGGTTCTGTCAGTATTAATCAGTCAACAAACAGATACATAATTGGGCATGACAAATGCATATTATCTGTAGAAGGCAGACTAGTTATCATGCAAAATGACATATTCTACCAATGATGCCAAAATACACATGTAAATAATGCCATCTCTTTTAGCTACATGGGAGTGAAAATACATAGTGATGAAAAAGTAAGTTGAAATGAATAAAAATATAAGTGCAACACCACACATTTTTGTGAAAAAATGAAACGAACTACCCAATCAGATGCTATCAGGATAAGCAAAAAAAATGCAACTAATATTAAACGGATAACATATGACATATAAGAAGTACAGCAAATGTGCAATACAAAATCTTGTGTGCAAGATTACTCTCCCAATTAAAGTTGAATGCAGCAGCATAACATGCATGAGAAGCTGGAAGAACAGAACACAAGTAGCTGTCATGGAAGGTGTATGTTGCATTAGGCAATCGGAGGTTCGAAAAACAAAAAAAAAAGCATGAATTAGAACAGAAGCATCACAGAACCAATAAACTAGCAACTAGAAAGCTCACCAAGGATGCATTCTGTGCAGATATCTGAGTTTTGCTAGAGGCATTCTGTCCAATCTCCATTGGATTCAGTGTAACACCATTGATAGAAGAAATACTACCAGGCAATCCATTGGAACTTTTTAATTGTACCGCAGCCCCCGCTGAAATACCACTTTTTTGCTGGGACTCTACTGCTAAACTCTGCTGCTTTATTTTAATTAGCTCCATAAGCATCTCAGGGCTTATATCCATCTCCTTCAATAAAGAAGGCAATGAAACAGCAGGAGCGGAACTGATTGCAGGATTCTGCTCAGTCACAGGATTTGCACCAATGCAATTACCAGTAGCATCTAGTCTAGTGTCAGTTATAGCAGCTGCATTTCCAGGTTTTCTCATTCCAACTTCCATAGATTCAGTCAAATGCAACTTACTGATTGTTTCAGAAGTCACACTACTCATATTCACTGGTATATCTGTAGTAACACTAGATGATTGCCTTTGCCTTTTCAAGGGATGGTCATCCTGCATGATAACATCTGCAGCTTTGTGCTTTTTATAATTTATTTGGCCTTCTACATGCCCATTTCTGGACATATTCTGATCAGATGAAACACCTACATTAGGGTTGATAAATCGAAGTCTAGGATCCCTGCTCTTAGCCTTTACAACGTCATTTTGTAGGGAATTCAACTGCCCTGCCATTTTATTAGGAGCAGATGGAAATCCAGTCAGACCATCTGCAGAGTTAGAGCTGCCACAAGATCCCACAGGCTTCAATGAACCCTTTACAGATTTAGTATTACCAACAGCGAAAGAACTTGAGACTTCATCATGCTTCTCATCTTCATAGCTGCATTCCTCTGACGGAGTGGGGCTTGGCAGCTGATTACTAGGAAGAATAGAAGTCCGCCCATATTTCTGTTGGTAAGAGGAAACCGCTTTAAGGGCATCATTCATATATGAATGCAAAGTTGTATCTTCTTCTTCCTCATTCTTGAAAACTGTTGGAAGAGAGACTGCAGGTGTACCAAAACCAATCGGTTTTTGTATTATTAATGGTGGTGCATTCTCTCGTGTAGGTGAAGGCAGGTTGCCTTCTTCATAATCAGCATGAAGGTCAAGCAAAGGGCTAAATTCAACTCTACTTCTAGTTAAAGGAAGTTCAAACTTGGGTAGGAACATCCCTCCACTATGGCAGCCCCGTAAATCAGTCTCTCTTAGATCCAAATCTGGTTTCTCTTTGCTAATATCATTAGAAACCAATAACTGAGCCATTGAATCTATCTGTAAAAATGGAAACTGAACTTGAGCTTCGTATGGACTGCAAACAAGGGAAGTATACACTTAACTATAAAATCCTATAACAAACCTCTGTGACTTGTTCTTTGGTCAGCAATACAGAGTACTGGTTTTTTATATGAATTAGCAACCTAAACATGAAATAACCAAGGTTTAATAGAGAACAAAGATGACAAAGCAATTTGGAAATTTAAAAAAAAAAAAAGGATCAATCTCAGCGATACAAGAACCTCAACAATAAATTCACATTCTGCTTTGTTTTCTTCAGATTCCCAGAACAAAAAACCTGTAATAAGTAATAACAAAATCACTGTGAGCTTTAAACAGAAAAGATATCCAAAAAGCAAAAAAAATCAAAGTTCAGATAATTTTACAGAATGAAGTGTTTGGATTCCCATGAACGCCTGCTGAACAAGAGCATCTAGAATGGGAACTTGGCCCTCTGCAAACATAGTTTTCAATCCTGCAAAAGACTTCAGCAACCGGAAACAAACGCCTTCCAAGGATCTACGCAGCCGAATAGAACTACTCAGTCAACTTGCCATCAATCAGAAAACCTTCTAAATTCAAAAGTTAAATTCTGAATTATCAATTTTATTTATCTCTTATATCATTTAGTTGTAACTTAATCTTAGATTATAATGTTTAGAATGAATTTCTGAGTCCTATTATTGGCTTCTCTTCATTAATGCTTAACACTTACGCCTCTGCTTCCTCAGAAGTTATTGTGTCCAACTCTTCCAATATTTCAGCAACACGTCTATCGAAGTCTTCAACATCTGCTTCTTCCTTGTCTTCACTTTCCTTAGTTTCTGATGCCTGCGGTTTCAACTCGTCTTTTATTTTATCTGAAGCTAAATTTATCATTTCCTCAGCCACAGGTTCAGAGTCCAAATCAATCTCTCCCTCCTCTAATTCTCCTTCCTCCTTCTCCATCTCGCCAACCGAATCCTCGGTGCTATCTCCAGTATCCGCATCCAAAGCTCCCTCCTTTCCTGTTTCCACTTCAGCGTCCTTCACCGGTTTCATTTCCAAACCAAGAGGCTTATTCTGAACCGCCTGAGCCCACGCAAAGCTGTATAAATTAGGGCCAAAGTTGTTCGCGACAGAATAACCCATCATGCCGTCATCCCAAACCCTAGATCTCGATCTCCTTCCGTCTTGCCTAAAATCCTCCGCGGAGATCTCTTCCAGCGACGCCGACGAGTCACCGTCGGAGATCTCCCCCTTATCTCCACCATTCATATGAGAGCCATTCCTCGCCATCCGAGCCAGGGTTTTCTTCTCGCTGGGGTTCAGGAGGAAACGGTTGGATCTGGGCATGCGCATATGATAGGCAGTAGAAGGATGGCTATATCTACAGAAAACTGCCGTCCGGACCGTCAAGTTTTATCTTTCTATGGATTGCGCGAGGAGATCCGTAATGCTAGGGTTAAATCGGTTGATCAGATACTGCTTTTTAGGCAATAGCGAGATCGATTAAAAGGACTCCGTCAGCTGAATCGAATTGCTACGATTTAGTTCGACAAACCTAGTTCTTTCGAGCGGATTTCGTCGAGATAATCTCCGAAATGTCGAACTGGGTAGGAGAAGCAGGTACAAAAAAGAGACGCGGGGATGATCGAAGAAATGTCGGGAACCAGGAGGGTAGCGGGGTTCGAAGTTTTATTTAATGAGCGCTGGTTTAATCTGAGCCGTAAGTGTAATCTGAAACTGCAGCTCCTAACCGTTGATTCGTTAATGAGGTTGCTCAAGAATCTAATTTTGAATTCTTCCTTGCCTCTCAAGGCCAGAGTGTGGAACGTGATCTGGATCCAATTTCATTTTCGTTTTATATTACTTTACTTAAATTTTGGAAGAAACACATTTTTTTTTTTAAGGTTTAACTATCAACTAAGAAATCTTTAATTTAAAATTTACATAAGTGAAGTCTATATTAGTTTATATTAATTAACTACCAAAAAAAATTTAAAAATTCATCCTCTTGCAACTATTTATATGAGAATACTTTGATATAAATAAAATTTATAAATCATAAAACTTAAATTTATATAATATCTTAAATTAATCAAAAAATTAAAAATATTTTTTAATATTATTATATTTATTTTGACATAATTTTCTTCATTTAAAAAATAATTCATTGATGTCAATTTTATTCCAACAACAACATCAAGTCTTTGTCCCACTATGTGGGGTCGGCTACATGAATCATTTTTTGCCATTATATACAGTTCAAAGTCAAATTCTCATTTAAATCTAATAAAGAAATATCATTTCTAATATTTTCTAACCAAGTCATTTTAGGTTTACATCTACCTTTCTTAACATAAGTCAAATCTAATACCTCAACTTTTCTAAACGGTTCATCGGGAGGCCTTCGTTTAATGGGACCAAACCATCTAAGGCGACTCTCTCTAATCTAATCTTCCACTGGACCTACTCCAACCTTTTCACCTATATGCTCATTTGATGTCAATTTTATTCCACCAAAAAAAAAAAAATTTGTTGGGATCATTTTGATAATTATGTCAACCATAATATTAATTATTATCAGCTATCTCTATCGATAAACATCAACGTCATCGATGATTGATATCATAAATCACCACCATCAGAATACTGAAAAGATTTGACCCTACTTTTAGGTATATTTGTCCACTTGTGGAAATCTATTTCTATAATCCCTATTAAAAAAAATTAAATATTGTTGTTAATTGGGTATATAATTAACATCTCTCTGTAGGCACTTGATTTTTGTACTCTCCATCTTCTTCAACACTGAAGAAATGAGGATCTTTGTATCACTTTTTACGTAATAAATTTTATACTTGGGCCAGGCCCCATTGTTTTTTCTCTTATGGGTTTTCCAGGTAAAAAAATTCTCTACTCCTACTTTCATCTATATGTGTTGAATCTTTATACACCACTAATAAGTGAAACACATACTCTACTGACTCAAATTTTCTAGCACGAAACAATACTTATATTAAATTTGGGTTGTTTTACTTATGTGGTTGTTGCTTACAATTTTTGTTTCATTAGCTATTATTTTGCTTGTTGTTGCACTAAAATTTTTAACTCTACTGATGAAATAAAATATTATTTATGTGTGTTGCTCACACTTTTCTATTTATAATTATTTGTACATGAACTTTATATTATGAGTATATTACCAATTTAAATTGATTTTGACTTTTGAAAGACATTTCAAGAGTTGAGGTTAATCCTTCCACCGCATCTCATGCTGTTGGGGTGTATTGTCGTCCAAACTCAGAGTGTGATAGCTATTATCCATGACAACTACATATAGGTACACAAGTGTTTCCTAGCAGTCCCGAAAACTAAAGTTGTTCATGGGATCCAAAGAATGACACACAAAAGGAAAGAAACATAATTGAGAGACCCATTGAATTCAGCAAAGATATCATAAGAAAGGAATTTCTCATCAATACTAACATTAAAAGTTCTTCTTATCTCTATTTCTCTATTTTTACAAAATAACATTAATTTTTTATTTTTATTTTTGGCTTAGAAACCCTCCAAACTGCCTAAAGTGGACTCAAGCATTACATGCTATCACTTGATCGAGCATCAATAAAACTTATCTTGTCAAGGTAATGGTAAATAAGGTTCCATGTTGGGAAACATAAGGTGATTGAGGCTAAATCTTAGAAGTTATGAAAGGCTAACTTCATTTATGAAGCATATCCTCTTAATGAGTCTCCAACATAGCCGAGGTAAACAAGATCAATTGGAGGTGGAGGATATGCCTGGACTTCAAAAATATCAATGACACATATTGAAGAGACTATTAAATACCATGAAACTTTGACCAGTGTAGATTCTATTTTAGTTTCAACTGACTCAATTTCCTAGACACCTTCTCAGGTTACCACTAGATTTAGATGCATCCTAGTGATGAGCTTCATTGCAGGTGAAGGAATATTTTATTATAGGATTATGTCATTTGGACAAATGAATGTTAGGTGAAAAATAAGAAGTAATTTCTAATAAACTATTTTAGCAAAGTATTGAGGGGGCCAAAAAAATCAATTGTCCCGTGATTTAATTCCAAGTTGGCCCTTACTCTCGCCAGCACAACAAGATGTCTCAAGTTGTACTTTAAGGCCCGTAAGATTTGTGTGCTCACTAATTCCTCTGTTCAACAAGTGTTAAAGAAGCTTGATCTCTCGAGCAAGCTCATAATGTTGCCCGTACAACTTAGTGAATTCGACCTATAACATTGCTTGAGAACAGTCAACAAGGCTCAAGTTCATGTAGATTTGTCGCCAAATTCTCAAATCCTATATCTATCAAGGAAGACAACATGACAACAACATCAAATCTTTATCCCACTACGTGGGGTCAATTACATGAATCATTTTTTTTCCATTGTGTTTGGTTAGAATCAAATTCTCAGTTAAATCTAATAAAAAAGATTATTTAAAATATTTTCTAATCCAAGTTTTTTAGGCCTACCTCTACCTTTCTCAAAATAAGCCAAATTTAATACATCTCAATATGGAGAACATTAAATAATGCACACTCATAGAGCATTTGAAAGAGATAGTAGAGGTGTTTACATTATTCTCAGGAGTTTACCCTCACTTAAGCCCGTATATACGATGTATGCAATTCTCCTTATAAATTGTAGTTTTCATGTTGTTCTTATGTCAGAGATGCTTTAGCTTTTTATCATGATATTAATATAAGATTAATTAGAGCGATTTAATGAAAATTATTTATAATTTCATCATACTTAAATAATATACATTTATATTATACGGTTTGCCGTTCACTCTCAGATAACGCTAACATGTCTTATATTTAAAGAATTTGAATTTAGTCTCTCCATATAAAGACAAATTCATCCAGAGTTATTTAAGAAATTAAAATGTATAATTTAATTTTAATTTGACTTATTTCATTTCGAGTTAGAGCTAGATTTAAATATGATTTGAATTTTAAAATTATATTTAAATTTGACTAATTTTGACATCAAATTTGATTTATAATTGAGCCTAACAAATTATATGTAAATACTAATATTTAAACATAATCATATTTTAAAGCATAAATCTACTACAAAATTTTCATAAAAATTAATATAATTCATTTTTTTTAATCCACAGTGGGCTTACGCATTAATTAAATTAAAATGTTACGGAGTCCTTAAAAGGGATCGAAAACTCAGTCAAAAAGAAAATAAAACCTATGGACTCCATGACCCTTCACTAGTTATAGATTAACAACGAAAGTTCGGCACAGAGCCATAACCAAAAAGAGGACCAGAATCGGAGAATTATAGACCCTGCAAGAAATACATAAAACAAGAACTACCAAACCTCAAAGGAAATGGCACCAAACTAGAATGAGCCCCGATAATCCAAAACCTACACAAAAAACCTCAACAGGGAAAATAATTAACAGTAAATCCAAAAACAAACCAGAAAGAGGTCAATAAAAAAGAAAACACCTCTCCACCTTCACACACAAAGAGGAGCAAACTAACTAAAACTCAAAGATCATAATCCACTCTCCTCCAAAATAAGAACAAAAGAAAACAAGAAACCAACTAAGCCACCAAGAATATCAAACTGGAGAATAACCCACAGAAATAAGACAAATCAACCCAAAACAACCCCGGGAAGAGAACGAAACAATCCCAACCAAAGATTAGACAACAAACAACAATACTAGTAAATAGAACATTGCTTTACTACTTGCTCCAGGTATTATGCTAGCTTGCTCAAGTTCATACATATTTTTATTCCTTACTCTTCGCAAACAAACACTCACAATACTTCCAAAGGGTAGAGAGATATACTGGGCCTTATGGCCAAGCAAGTGATGGTGTAGAACACCCAAATAGTCCACCCATACACCCCAAAAGTCCTCGGAGGAAGCAACATGAGCCAACGAAGAACAAGCCCCAGCCACAAATACCCAAACATGGCAATAGCAAATAATCCAACATGGCAGCAACAAAAAGCCCCCAAACACCAAAACTTCGCAATAATTGAAAAGCAAAACATAAAAATCAAACTAGAAAAAGGCAAAAAAAGGCTACAATCACAAGTAAGGCAACCCACCTTTATCAAGTCTAACCAACCCTTAGGCAAATTGTTACCTATAAATTTCATAAAACCATTAGTATTACTCCTATAACTAGCCAACCAGTCAGCACACTTGTTACCTTCACAAAAGATATGATATATATGAAAATTAAACTGACTAATCATATATTTAATTTCTTTAATCATGTAAAATAAATTAGGCTTAAAGGTAACATTGTCATTAAGCATATGATTGATAAGTTTGGCGTCAGTTTCCACCCATATATCATTAGCATTCAAACCCACACAAACATTTAGGCCATAATATAGAGCACGCAATTCAGACATGATAACTGAGGATGGATTAATAGAGCCAACAAAAGCAACTAATACATTGCCAAAACAATCCCTAATAATTCCCCCAAAATCACTGTTAAAGTTTTGGGAAGCAATATAATGATGATATTGAGAGGAGATTTGCCACAATCAAGGGCGTGTTATCTCAATGCCTTGGGGAATATTTAAGAGGAAGTTCTTCCACTCAAGGTTCGAAGAGGATATGGACTCGACTTCTGACGTAGTAGAAGAAATGCCAA